GGAGGGAGGAGGGGGAGGGAAGAAGGAGGGAGGAAGGAGGGAGGACGAACGCGGGGACCGTCTCTCCAAAACGATGACTTAGCACCACAAGATGGGAAAAATGCAATTGGCGCCGGAGGGGGATCAACACTCATTCATAAGACTGATCGCTGTTATCTGCACGCGTGCCACTCATCACGTATGTCCTACACCCTCGATACCCGCCCTCTTCGTCTTCGATAATACCCCCTTGGGGGTCCATCTTCCTTACCTGCTACGCGTTGTTGGCGCAGCCCAAAGCAGGGGAGAAAAAACGAGACTGGAAGGAACGGTAAAGGGGGAGGGGGAAGGATGGATCACGAAAGAAAATGGCAGGAGAAGGGTCAGGAGCAAAAACAAGTGGCAGAATCTGACAAGCCGATCGGCTTGGCGAACCCTGGCGGGCGGGCCAGGCGGGCGGGCCCAGGCGGCTGGGTCGAGCGGGCGGGTCACTGAAGCGTCAGTCCTGCATGAATTTTCGAAGAAATCTCAAGCGACAGCGCGATTCCGAAGTGAGTCGTGCGGAAGTCCACAGCGAGAGCGTGATTCCTGAGTGTCGCGGGCGCGGCGTTTCAATAAACTACGAAGAGATACTACGCGGAAGCGTGATTCCTGTATAGACCATGAAGAAATCCCGCGCGAGTGCGTGCCTTTGAATGAATTATGAAGCAGTATCAAGCGGGAGCCGTTGCCGTGGTGGGGACCAGCAACGCATTCTGAGGCTGAAGACTTCTCCTTTTTACAAAACAAGGTGCGAGCCCCGGAGGGGGCAGTTCAGTTGAAAAAAAATGGCGCTGGAGGGGGGGGGTCAACAACATAATTGTCCTTAGACATGAGAACTCAATCATGTTAAAACTGTTCGTTATTACCTGCTCGCGTGTCAATCAACACGCGTAACCAAAGCCAACGATGCCCGCCCTCTTCGTCTCCGATCATACCCCCGTGGGGGTACACTTTGATTACCTGCCGCGCTGAATTGGCGCAGCCCCCAAAACAGGGGAAGGGAGGAGGAAAGGGACAACTGGAAGAGAGAAGGATGGGACACAACAGGGCGGAGCAAAGCAGGACGGGGGTCAGGAGCAGAAAAGCAAGTGGCAGTACTAGTCGGGTTCGTCGGGCGGGGCGGGCCGGGCGGGCGGGCCCAGACGGCGGGGTCGAGCGGCGGGCCGCTGAAGCGCCAGTCCTGCTTAAATCGCGAGGAATTCTTGAGCGATAGCGCCATACCCAAGTCAATCGCGAGGAACTCCACAGCGAGAGCGTGATTCCTGGGTGTTAGCGGGGCAGCGATTCAATACACTGCGAAAAAAGTATCACGCGAGAGCGCGATTCCTGGACACACGGAGGACGTCCCGCGCGAGAATGCGATTGTGAATACCTGATGAGGAAGCATCAGGCGGGAGCCGATATCGTTTTACACTGGGGGCCGGGGGCACAGTCTGAGACGCAAGACTGTTCATTGTTCGAAACACGGTGCGAGACCCTGGAGAAACACTTGAATGGAAAGAACACCAGGTGCACAGAGCAGGGGGATCAACGGTAATCATTTGCTGATGAACTGTATGGCAAGGGGGCGACATCCCCACACCCAGATCTCCCACCCAAGGAGGTCGAGCCAGCACCTCTCCCGAGGCACATTTCCCACTTTCAGCTCGCGCGACACACAACACATGTAGCGCAATTTTGGGAAGTGATGAAGATTCGAACCGCGAGGTTCGAGACCCAGGAGAGGGACAATAAAAAGTCAAGAAAACTCGAGATCCAGGCGAGGGGCAATCCACAGGAGCTAAAATAAAACACCGAGGATCCGAGCGCCAGTCGAGGGGCAATGTGTTTGTAAATGTGTGTATATATATATATATATATATATATACACCTGCAAATATCTCAGACACATACGATTCGAGCCCCAGGAGACGGGCAACCTATAGAAACAGAAGTACAAAGGGTTTGATCCCCAGTAGTGTGGAGGCGAAGCCTTTTGGGGCGAAGCCTACGAGCAGCCGAAAAGCACTCCCCGAACACCTATCCCAATACAGAAAAGTGCCTCTTGGGCCTCTTGGAGCCTCGTGGGGGCCTCCTGGAAGCGGGGGGGCCGAAAAGCGCTCCCCGAACACATTTCTCGACACAATCCCGGGGCCTCCTGAAGGGGAGGGGCCGAAAAGCGCTCCCCGAACACGTATCCCAATGTAGAAAATGCCTCCTGGGGCCTACTGGGGGCGGAGGGCCGAAAAGCGCTCCCCGAAGACACATCCTTGGAGAGTCATGGAGCCTCCTGGGGCCTCCGCAAGTACTTAGCGGCAAGACTGCTCTGACGGATCTCCATCAGCACGAGTGGGCCCGAGCACGAGTGGGTCTGAGCACGAGCGGGTCTGAATATGAGTGGGTCTGAGCACGAGTGGGTCTGAGCACGAGTGGGTCTGACCACCTGGGTGTTATTGGATCGGGAGTCTCAGCATGAGCGCAGGGATTCTCGAGCCTGCTGGCGTCTCCCAGCCCTCATGGGAGTTTTTCATGCCTCCTGGGACCGCATAAGGCCTCCCTGGGCCTCCCTGGGGGCTGAATATGAGTGGGTCTGAGCACGAGTGGGTCTGGGCGCAAGTGAGTATCAATCCGAATCGGTTCGCTAAAACAGTGACTGGAATTGGACAGATGTGAATGTGAGCGGATCTGCCTCTGAGTAGCTGAGTATGAACGACCAGGTATGAGCGAGACTGAGTACGCGTGCGCATGGATAAGAACTAGTATGAATGTAGATGCTTCTGGGTATAAGCTAGTGGGTGCGACTTGGTCTGCGTGAGAGTCTGAGAAGGAGTTGGCCTCTTGAGTGTTGTTGGACCGGGAGTCTGAGCATGAGCGCAGGGATTCTCGAGCCTACTGGCGTCTCCCAGCCCTCCTGGGATTTCCTTCTGCCTCCTGGGACCGCACAAGGCCTCCTGGATCCCTTGGAAGATATGGGGAAATATGGAAAGTGTGTGTGGGGGGGGGGAAGACGAGAATCCAGAAACTATGGGAAAATATGGGGAATCTTGGGATTTGTGTCTATCCATTTGTGTGTCCCTGGGCCCAGTGTACAGTCAAGGCCTCCCTGGGCTTCCTGGGGGGTCCTGGAGCCTCCTGGAGCCCCCTTGGGCCTCAACGGGCTCCGCTCGGCCTCCTGAGGCCCCATGGAGCCTCCTGGATTCTCCCTGGCCAGCTCCTCCTCCTCCTCCTCCTCCTCCTCCTCCTCCTCCTCCTCCTCCTCCTCCTCCTCCTCCTCCTCCTGACGTTTCTGGAGGCCTTCTGGGGCACCCTTCAGACTGAGCTTCCCGGAGCTCATGACCTCCTTGAGCGCCCCTGAGGTCTCCCGGAGCCTCGCCGTGCAGCACCAAAACCCTGGCCCATACCGCTTGGGACGCACGAGTGCGACGACGGCTGCAGCGCAATGACAGTGGGGCTCTGAAGAGAGACCAGCCAACTTCCCAACAACGGGCGTTCGACCGCAGAGGTCCCACCGATCGGGACACGAGCGGGCCCCTGACCTGGACGCTGCACACAAGGAGACCTTAGCTCGATGCCTACTACATCGCAGCGATCAGGAGGCTCTGACAAGACAGACACACACACACACACAGACTTTCACACACACACACACACACTTTCAAGTCGGCGGCGCTCAGGGTCCTCAAGTGCGAGCTGCAGATGGAAGCGCGAATTGCGATCGAGCGTTGTCGAAGGCACAGTGTACGAAGCGTCGCGCTCTGTAAGCGAAGGCGATGGGTGCGTGCTCGTGGAACTGCAAGTCCAAACGAGACATGCAGCGGCCAGAAAACGAGGAGGATACTCAAACTCAAAATGAACCACACACACACACCAATTTGTAAAAACCGGACATCTTGCTGAGAAGTCCCACCAATCTTGGCGCGGACGGGCCAGTGGTATGCCCATACCGGCGGCTCCCTATACTGGGATGCCCGAGCGCGGTACCTGCTGCACCGCGGTGGCCACGAGGCTCCGAGGGGAAGACACGCCAACTTCCCCCCAAACTGGTGCTCTACGTGAGACGTCCCGCCAACCTGGACGCAGCGGACGGCCCAATGAGATACCCTATGGTGGCTCCCCCATTGAGAGACTCTCTACCGCGATGCCTGCTCCATCGCGGCGGTCCTGACGCCATGATATGAAACGTCAGATTTCCTAAACGGGTGCGGTACCTGACAGGCCCCACCAATCTCAGCGCGCAAACGGGCCCGTGATAAACACTATGCCGGTTCCCCCTGGGAAGGCAGAGCGAGCGCGATGCCTGCTGCATGGCGGCGATCACACAAACGGGCACTCCACCATGGTACGCCCCCTGCACCAGTCTGACGAACGAGTGAATCAAACTATTGGTGGGTCCAGGTGTGAGGGGTGAGGTGAGGGGGCGGAAGGAGACGGACAACACAAACGAATAGCAAGAATCCCAAGCGTAGGACCTGGGGAAAGTGTGAAACCGTTGCACGGAAGGAAAGCGATATCTTTTCAAAGTGGGGCTGTCGCTGTCGCTTGAGATTGCCTCAGGCTTCTGACCAGCCATGTAAACCTGGACGACAACTACACGGATCCTACAACTGGGCGTTTCTCTCGACTAGCCGGATGGATGGGGGGTCCCTCGCCCAGATGCACAGTGCATACCTATGGAGCGCTCGTCTTTCAAGGGCGCGCTCCCCGTAGTGAAAGGGATTGCATGTAGGGACTTACGAGGGGGGACTTGGGATGGGAGGGTGTCTTGCAGCATCGTTGGAGCATGCTGGGTCAGTCTGATCCTCCTCCCCTCCTCCTCCTCCTCCTCATCCCCCCTCCTCCTCCTCCTCCTCCTCCTCCTCCTCCTCCTCCTCCTCTTCCTCCTCCTCCTTCTCCTCCTCCTCCTCCTCCTCCTCCTCCTCCTCCTCCTCCTCCCTCCTCCTCCTCCTCCTCCTCCTCCCCCTCCCCCTCCCCCTCCCCTACCCCGTCCCGCCACCCGCATCCTGAGAATCCGTGTGCGTGTCGAGGTCTGGGAAGAACTGGCGCCTGTACTCCTGGAGTTCTTCCTCGCACAGGCGGCCTCTTCCCCCCCCCTGCTGAGTTCCGCCAGCGACCCTCGGACATCGAAGAACAGCCGTTGTGCCTTATGGCCCCTTGGCCTCTGAAGTAGGGGCAATCAGGTAGCACACTGTGTGTGCACACCACCAAACTTGTTTTTGTTTTCGTCGTACCGCTTCAGCAGCACTTCCTCGTTGTTCCCCTATCCTCTCTCTCTCTCATTATCTTTTGTTGTGTCTCCTTCTCTCTCTCTCTCTCTCTTTCTCTCTCTCTCTCTCTCTCTCTCTCTCTCTCTCTCTCTCTCTCTCTCTCTCTCTCTCTCTATATATATATATATAAAATGTAAATGTTTAGATCCATGTGTTTGTGCTGTTCTCTCTCTCTCTCTCTCTCGGTATAAGTTTCTACATCATGTTGTTTATCGACATCGTTCCGTCTCTCGTTCTCTGTCTGTCTCTCTCTCTCTCTCTCTCCCTCTCTCTCTCTCTCTCTGTAGCTCTCTCTCTCTCTCTTTCTTTTGTTCTCTCTCCCTGTCTCGCATATGCGGATACGCACGTATGCGGCACCCAATGCACAAACAGACGAGGCAAAAGTCTCAGATTCACGAGGCCGTACTCTCGTGATGGGGGCGGTTGAATCAAATTGAGTTACGCTGCGGAAAACTACCGGCACGTTTCGTACAGCAACAAATCCAAACCAAACCCAAGGAAGTGCGCATTAGTTCTTTGGTTTGTGAGACCTGCCGCCGTTTTCTTGGCGTAGGATTCCTGCGAACTCCTCTGTTCCACACTCCTTGCTCTCTTCCTCCTCCTCCTCCTCCTCCTCCTCCTCTCCTCCTCCTCCTCCTCCTTTCCAGTTTCATATCCCTTCCCCCTCCTCGTCAGCCTTCCCCTCCTCCTCCTGCATGATTGTCCTCTCCCCTTCCTTCATCCTTCCCCTCTCTCTCCTTCGTGCTCCTCCTCTCCCTCCTCTCCTGCTCCTGTTCCCGCTGTAGCGCGCCCTCAGTATGATTGTGGTGGAGCAATCAGCAATGCAATAGATCATGGTTTCACACGTGAGCTTGCGAATGAAATTGGCAGGGAGTGACTAAATCACACTGAACCACAATCAAAATCATATGCATTTTTCTGTTTGGCCATCTAGCCTCAACAGACATATTCGGTCGAGATAAATACTGACCGGTTCCATGAGCTGCCTGTTTGCGATGCCGCTCCCAGCAGAGCGGCTAGATTGCATCAAACAGCAGACCGCCAAACGCAAGAAGACCACGATAACACCCGTCACAGCTGGCCACAACGCTGGACTAGGTCACGCCAGCACGTTGACCGAGGTATGGAGAGCATCCACTATCATTCCTCCGCCTGCTGGCGTTCCCGCGCTGGTCGCGCGATGGGTCGTATAGTCAGACCAGGGAAAGCGGGTCGCCGTAGCTCCGCGGAGGCGTGGGCGGGCGGGTGGGTCCGAGAATCGCCCGTGGGAGTCTCGTTGCTGAGCTTTGCATCAGCCGCCCGTTGCCCGAGTCGCACCATACCGCGGTCGCAACGGCGTGGTTGTGGGTGGGCGGGCCGAAAACGCCGCCTCACCTGAGGGCCCTTGCCCTGCCTGTGCCTGCAGGCCCTTGCCCACCCGAGGGAGGGGAAGGCCAAGTCGAGGTCCGAGTGTGACCTCCCACAACGCCCTTGCCTGGGCCTGGGCCCGTGCCCAATCGCAACATGAATGCAATATGCCAGCAACTGCGCAATGCTAGCCCCCTGCGAATGCATAAGCAAGACGATGACACCATGCTACAATCCGTCATCCCTGCTCGCTGGACTACCCTTTCTCCCCTGACTGTAAGTCCAATTGCCGTGCTATGTTCTCCCACTCGTACAACGCGCGCGCGCGTTATCCGCGGAGGAGAGCATCCACTATCATTCATCCGCCTGCTGGCGTTCCCGCGCTGGTCGCGCGATGGGTCGTATAGTCAGACCCGGGAAAGCGGGTCGCCGTAGCTCCGCACCCTTCGTGAGGCGATCGCTTGTCTGACACCCATCGTCGCGATCGTCGCGGGACATCCCCGACTGGCTTGGCGGGTTATCAGGCGCGGACGCCAAACCAGGAAGGAATGGACTGGGCTGTTCATGTTTCTTCTCGTTCCTTTCTTTTTCGCCCCTACTCGGAGTCTGAGTGGCCGATTAGCAGCGACAGGGCCGCTGCTTCTTCTACCTGGTGGTCACGCGAATACTGTACAAAGGCCGAACTCGTCCAATCACCTGCCCGGAGCAGCGTCGCTAGACTGCCTCCGGAATCCACTATGTCTTGAGCCATGCCTCTTCTGAGCGCGTGGGTTCCTAACTTGTGTGCGTCCACTATGCCTACATGCTCGGCGTGCTGCCTCACGCGCTGAAGGAATTGCTGCGCTGACCGCGTGAACACGCGCTGCCGCCCCTGCCGGCGCGCCTCGGCGATGAGCGGCATGAGGTGGTGCAGCGCGCACAATAAGCGCCCAGATTGCCGACAGCAGCACTCGCGCCGGACGACCGAAGGGCGCCGGCCCGGCTTCCGCCGGGACAGGGTGATGCTGAATTCGACGCCCTCCAGGGCGATCTGCGAATGCCCCCCGTCGATCTCCAGCGGGATGCACCCCGACGGCATTCGGAACAGACACAGCCGACCGACAGCGTAGAGCGCAGCTTGCTCGGGGTCTCTCAACGCCTCTGCGTGAGCGACAAGCTTTCGCACCTCCCCGGCTTGCAGCGCCAGGCGTTGTCGCGGCTGGTCTGCTTGTTCCGCCTGGCCCCTGCGGACCTGCCTCGCCGCATCCGTGTCCCAGTCGCTGCTGAACCGCAGGAATCGGTGCGCCCATCGTAGATTTGTCAAGTATGCCTTCAGAGTGCCGCACTGACGGAACATGGCCGCGAATCGGATGACATCGCCTTCCCTTGCGGGAAAGTGCCGCGGCCGCCCCAGCGCGTCCATGAACGCAGCCCAGCACCGCACCCCGGCAATGTAGGACGGCAGTGATCTGCCGATCGTCGCAGGCATGCTCCTTTGCCCTGCTTCGTCGAGAAGAGAACCATCTCCACCCGCCGCCGCCAGCACGGCCACCGCCTGCCGGGGCGGCAGCCTGTCCGACAAAAGCCGGCCGAGGCCAGCCGACGACACGCGGTCATCAAGTGTGCGCCATCCCGTCGCTTGTGCTACGGATGTCTCGCGGTGGAACTCATGCATGGCCTGTGCCACCACCCAGCCCGTGCGTTGTCTCTCTGGGAGGCCCAGGAGTCTCGAAATCCACCAGCCAGAGCCGGCGTTCACCGGAGGCGCACCTGCAGCTGCAATCGCAAAGGTTTTTGCTCTGTCACCGGGCGGAGAAATCGCCTGCGCCACGTTCTGCAACAGATTGGGCCCCAGTGTCGCAACCCCGCGGCTGCCTGCGTGCCCCCAGCTTGGGGCGCCCGCCAGATACCGCCGCGCGTCTGCATGACTCTGTGCACCCCCGCGGGTGACCTGGGCGCCTGCCAACCCGCTCGGCGCCGCAGACGACGCCGACGTGACAGGCGGGATGTGCGCCGTGCTGTTGGCACGCCCTCGCGGGCCCAACGCCACGCGCTCCGCTGGGCAATGCGCGCCTGGCCCTGGCGGGCGCCACCCCCCGTGGAGTCTTGCCGCCCAGGCCACTGACGCGAATGGCGGCACTGCAGACATACTCGCGAAACTGGTCTCGCGCAAGGGCCCCTGTGAGCCCAACCTGGCGAGAGCCGACGTGGCCACGGTGTGCCCAATGCGTAAAGCGACGCAATGAACCTTCTTATCGGCCGGGCTCATACCTTCTGCAAGGCCCCCGGTTCGAGTCTAAGTTTTTTTTTTGGTGTGTGTGTGTGTATGTGTGTGTGTGTGTGTGCGTGTGCGTGTGCGTGTGCGCGTGCGTGTGCGTGTGCGTGTGCGTGTGCGTGTGCGTGTGCGTGGGTGTGCGTGGGTGTGCGTGTGTGTGTGTGTGTGTGTGCGTGTGCGTGTGCGTGTGCGTGTGCGTGTGCGTGTGCGTGTGCGTGCGTGTGGGTGTGGGTGTGGGTGTGGGTGTGGGTGTGGGTGTGGGTGTGTGTGTGTGTGTGTGCGTGCGTGTGTGTGTGTGTGTGTGTGCGTGCGTGAGTGGAGTGTGTGTGTGTGTGTGTGTGTGTGTGTGTGTGTGTGTGTGTGTGTGTGTGTGTGTGTGTGTGTGTGTGTGTGTGTTGTGTGTGTGTGTGGTGTGTGTGTGTGTGTGTGTGTGTGTGTGTGTGTGTGTGTGTGTGTGTGTGTGTGTGTGTGTGTGTGTGTGTGTGTGTGTGTGTGTGTGTGTGTGTGTGTGTGTGTGTGTGTGTGTTTTTGTTGGGGGGGGGGCCTCTTGGGACCCCCACAAGGAAAACTCCTGGAAACGTTTTGGGCGCCACCTGGGGCCCACAAGGCCCATCTCAAACCGACCTGGGTGCTTGAACAGCCGCCCCAGCGCCCCAGCGCCCACTTTTGCGGTTGGGGTTCCGGCCCGGGGGGCCCCTGACTCGGCCCCCCGTTATATGTATACATGGCCGCAAGCGGGGGAAGAACGCACGGCCCTAAGGAGGCGACGACGACGCGACCGGTGATTATACCTGTTTTCTCACCTCCGCGACTTCTGCGCCATGCTGTCAGAATTCATGTAAATACACCCCTCCTGATTATTTACAACGCAAGGCGGTGCGCACCGGTGCGCTGAAGCCACGAATCGAGACCTGCGGAAAAATCTGGGAAACTCCAATTGTCCCTTTCCGTCGCTTCCACGCCGCGCAACATATCGAGATCGTTTCTAGAAGGGCCGTCTGCTAAGTTGGCCTTGCTGGGCACGTAATGAACATGGTAGTCCATGCCCATGACTGCCGCTTCGAACCACAAAGCCCGCAATGGCAGCGAGGTCCCTCTTCGATGAAAACCCCCTGACGATGCAGGCGAGGGCGGCCGCGTTGTCGACGAAATGGACGACCCGGCGTTCACGGAGAGTGTCCGGGCACAGCGAACACAC